TGTACAGTGCGTCTTGCTTTCAAATGATTTTGCTGCAAAAAAGTTTACCGTAAAGCTATTCATTCCACCTTTTTCTTTCCGAACAAATTTCACAATTAGTTGAATACATTAGTTTGATTTAAATTTTTTCCTGACCTAGATGGATAGACTAGTGGTATAATATTGATCAATCTCATTTGCTAATTAACCAGTCGTGGACTTCTACCAAATTCATCTCAGGGCATCATTAACGTATTTAGTTTCGGTAATGTTTGTGTTGCAAAATTCACTTTTGACAAATTCGACCCTTTGAATTGGTTAATTTCTAACTGCTTTTCTCTATGTTTAAGCATTGAAAATAAGTAGTAATTGTTGTAATTTACTCCCTTGGTTATCTAAATGACCCTCTCGGCTATGTTATTTAAGTTTCATGCCTACGTCCAGAGATTGTTAGTTTAGATATTACCCGATAATACAAAGGTGAAGGGAGAAAAATCATTGCTCAGTGAGTTAAATGGAAGAAGATGGTCTAGGCTGTGGAATATAATCAGCTGGCACAATCGTCATTCGCTACGCAGTAACTCATTTTAGACTGTCTAGTCTTTGGCTTTCGTTTACGTTTTCAGTGCTACCACTGATCCAACTGAACGTACACTGCGGTTTTGAGATGATTGAGAATACTTGTAGCTCAGGAGGATGATTTTGATGGTATTGTGTTCTCTGGGGTGAATCGTTTAATTGTGAAGCTTTCATTTTCATTCTGGAGGCGTGTGGTTGGTTAACACTTCCCCGCAGCCCACACTGTGAAAGCCTATTTCTTCTTAAGGTACCTGAAAGAGAAAAAGATTTGTGTGACCGCAGAGCCCATCGGACATCTGTTTGGGGCCTGTCCCACACAGCCTCTATGGGACTGTTGGTGTGAGATGCGATTACTCTGAAGCCAGACAGAGAAAATCCATACCGCTGGCACCGGAAGACCATGGGGCAGGGAGGAGTGTGCTTTTTTGAAACCAGTCTTTTCAGAACCCCCTTCCCATAGGAAAGGCAGCATCAATATGGCACTGTTGGTCATCCAAGGTAAATATCACATTACTGTTACACCCACGTCCAGTCGGTAGTACGATTTCTCTTTCGGACCCCCATCATAGTGTAGCAATTTACACTACTACGGTAACTGCTTTTCATCTTACCACTATCTAACAGACCTTTTTTGGAGGAAACAAGCATTACAGCCATTGTAGCTCGTCAGGTCATCAAGATATACAAGCCTGAACACCATGTCAGGGTAGCAGTTATCGGCAGGGCAACTTGAACCGATCCACTTATGTGCAAGGTTCTACGTTGATTTTGACTGTCTGTCTGTCATTTTCATTCTAGACAAAATATCAGCACAAAATTCAGAAAGAAGTGAGCTATCGGATTTACTCCACAAATGGTTTACTAGCCTATCCTGATAACCTCGGGTGTGATTGGTTGTTTCTGCTAAACATTCGTCATTGTCTCCATACATATTTCGATTGGTTGTCCTACTGATAAGACGTCTGATCTTCCTATTGTTTCTCATATTTCCTATTGGCTGATAGATCTGGTCAATGTCAATATATCTGTTGGTCGCCGACTGACCTAAATGCCAAGTTTTAAAAATTCTTTGGCTCCGTTTGTATTCCTTTCGTCCAGAATTTTCATAATTTCCAGTTGAATCCATGTCCACAGTTGTCGGTATGTAATGAGTGATATGAGTGAAGATATGTCATGATGCTTTATTGTTAGTTGGTGTTCATGTAGACGAATACGAAGGGGATGGGGGACCACTCTGTTCGATGTAGTGTTTTCCATGGTTTCTGTAGTTTCTTATACAGATGACGTTTGGCTTGCCTTCCTTTGCTACTGTATCTTTTAGCCTCGTTAACATGAAGTACTCTAGAATGACATTATGTTATATTTTGGGCACTTACAGGCAGTTGGTGGAAAAGTATACTTGATTTAAGTTTCGTACTTGATAAAGCAGTTATCAGCATAATGTGTTCACAACCTTTTTGGCGAACTGCTGCTCTTCTAGACGCTTGAACTAGGGTTACTAGGTTGGTGTGTGCAGTTGGTTTGGGACGGGTTAGATAAAAACTGTCTTTTCAGTGCTGACAGGCATGATACTTAAACGCAAGGCTTCCGCCTTCAGTTATCTAAGGTTAAATCGGCACAATGTCTCCGCATTGTTCACAGAAGGGTGGTTGTCGGCCAATTGTTAAAAAGTGAATTTCATCGGATATTAATGATAGTATCATTTTCCTAACTATACACTCGACGTCACATCCGTCACTACATAGTTTCAGTTTTTTAACCGAATTCTTTGAACCTAGTGTGTACAGTTGGCAAATGGTTTTCAGTCAGCATACCGGTTCAAATCTAACTGTACATATTTCAGCCTAAGTATCTGAGTGGTAGTACCGTAAACCCTAAAGCAACAGGTGTGGAGCATAGTTTAGTGCATAAAATATACACACTGGATAGAGTTTACATTGATTTATTTCTGAGTAAATTCGCACAGCAGTGAAATTTCACAGCTGTGATGATGTGATGTCTATCCGGACACTCAGAAAAACATTAGATGCCAGAAAACAAACATTTCTGAGAACGAATATAATATGCACGCTTAGCTGACAGCTAACTTAGTACGCAAGAGGCGCTGACTGCAAACCCGGGGCGAATAGGGACAAGACCGAAGCTGACAGATGGGAGAGTGTATTACTGTGAGATTTTAATAATGAATCAATCCGAAACACGTGAATAAGTATACACATGAAAAATGACCTTGTCCTCAATTTGAGGCATTTGCATAGTTAAGAGTAAAGATTAACCAATTAGCGATTTACATTACAATGAGGACACAAAGTAGACTACTAGTCATACCGTAAAAAACGGTGTGGAAATGACACATTAAAATGTTCAGATCGATAACAATGTTTTATACAAAACTGGGGCATCACGACACCACACTCGTTGGCTTACATGTTTACTTATAAACTTCGCACTTTCATCCAAGCGTAGATAATTTTATTCAAAATGTGCAAGTGGGTAAAGATGAACATCATTAGGACGTAGTAATTCGCGCCAACAAAGACCTGTAGATTCGTGAAGGAATACTATTAGAATAACTGTTGGAGGATAATGCGTGGGGACCAACTTCAGTTCAGCATTAGATGATGTCCACCAATAATGCGGGGTACTGATAGTTTTAACAGACCTAGTACTTCTCCTTGGATTCGAAATCTCATTCTTCAGCCCTGTTCTTTAACTGTTTGCATCATAACTCATCCTGACAATAGTTACTGCACACTTTAATCGCTTGGCACATGGTAAACAACGTCACTCCTTATTAGCGAGTGAAATGGGATGTCTGTCAGTCGTAGAGTGTATTGGAACCAGGAAGCTGAGCAGACAGCTAGGACCTATCTTTTCGATAATTTCTTCTTCTAGTCAACACTCATGTATAGGGTTAGAAGTCGGTGACATTCTTGGACATGAACATACATACTCTGAAACAGAGAACCGCCTCAGCTGAACTTCGGCTAAAGGGATGAATGTACTGCTTGGTAATAATGTTATGACCAGTGACCGTGAAAAACTTGGGATAGTTAACGCCAAAGTCATAAAATATCGAGATAATCAGAGGTGCAAGTATTTTGGAACCTAGTTATCAAACATCGTGTAATGCATAAGAAAGAGTATCACGCCTCACTGCCAGGAACATACTTCTACTTGTCTACGCGCAAACCTTTAGGAAATACTAAATCCATGTTTTTCATTAAGACTTTTGTTATGTTCGATAATTTGTGAAAAAACCATTAGTGTGAAGATATTTACCATCTTTGAACGGCATCATCTTACCATCCAGTCGGAACCAGAGTCATAAACTCCATCTCATACTGACGTTGAGGTACACCCTTTTGAAATATTCCAGCGGTACCCTGATCTACACCGTTATATGATGAGAATTGGTGTTTAATGGAGTTTTACTCCGATTTCCGACTCAGCTCCCAGTCGCAGGCCTGACGTCCTCAGTTTTGACGGTATTATCCTGAAAACTTGGGGGATCGCTCCCCTCACGGAGCCGGAAACGTCCAAAGCAATGCATCCACATGAAAACGAATACTCCTACCAAAGTACCCTGTTAATGTCCCCTCAAACTGATAGGTGAATCCAAACCTCCCGCTGCCGAAACTCCAACGCATCAACATTCGCCGGGTAACTGGACTGTTTGATCTCACTCACCTTCCCGTGGGCAGACATGCGCTGGATGCGTCTCACTGAGTCTCCAGAATCTCGCAGGAAGCGATGCACCTCACGCTCCCATGAGATTATAGTCCTCACACCAACTTTTCAGACACAGAGGCTGCCCCCCGGCTACTTTCGATAGACCAGGGATACAGCGAAATGATACCTGGTATTCGGGACCGAATACCACGCACCTTTACAATATTGAGCACACCAACTCTCTTGGGAATGCTTCAACAGTAGTGACTACCGGAATTAAGAATCTGGGTTCCCTAACCTTTTGACCGCACTACTCCCACTGTGGTTGGAGAAATCGTGATGGTCACCTGACCCATTCGTACTTTGGAGACCCGCGCCACTGATCAGCGCATATGGATGTCGTCAACTGCTATTACCAATAGGTCAATCGAAGCAGTGTATTGGTTGAAGTCCGGTGGAGCCCTCGCATGTATTTAGCCACTTCTGAGAGTCATAGCTATTCGCGCTTATGTCAAGCTGGGTTTAAACCCGTAACCTATTGACTGGAAGCCGAGCACCTAGAGCAATCCACCAACAAACTGCAGACTAACTCAACAGAATTCAGTCAGCACTTAGGACTAGATAACATGATATCTGTTGCCACTCAATGACCCTGCTCAGTTTGTAGGTTTTGTGTGAAAATGTTTTGCAATGTATTATTCATTAGAGCTAATTTTACATATGATTAAAAGGGACTTATATTTTACATCCTTTTTTTTCTGATAAAAAAGGGGGTATTACCTACATGTTTCCGTTGGCCAACAGCTTCATTCACATTGTGATGTATACGTATTACGGACTGGCTGCTGCTGGAGCATATCGTTATTTATGGTGGAAAAATTACTTGACCTTGGCGCAAATGATTCAGTTTGTCATTCTAATTTTACACCAAGGTCAAATATTTGTACGTTCGGCACCATGTAACTATCCCAAGGTATTTCCAGCCGTAATTGTGCTCTATGCTAGTTTGTTTCTTGGTCTATTCTCTAATTTTTATGTGAAAGCTTACTGGCGTAAACAACGATTGGCTAAAGGTGTACAACAACGAAACGGTCGAACAGGTGAGAAGTCAGGTGATCAAAAATCATTAACCAATGAGAATGGCTCTATGAAACAAAGCAATGGATATGCATCTCTCACTAATCACCAAACAAGACTACGCAAAATTGAGCAATAATGATTGAGTATTTGGATAATAGGAAATATAACAGTATAAGTTCCTCCTTTAGATTTTGAATCAAGAACGCACATAAACAAAGATTGTTTATATTCCTAATCTATTGGAAAAAACTGCTCATTTTCTCCTCTTCATGTATTTTGTATGCTGGTGTGCAGCTGTTGCCTTTTAATATGTAGGTGTCACAAGCACTGCCTGCTTTCCGCTTTTTGTATGTGTGTTGTACGTGTGCATTCACTCACTTTGGAAAATAGTGCACATGGTAAAATAGAAAACTGACACTTGTTGTGTTGACGTTCGAGTAGAAACTGTATTCGTCCATGCGTACAGAAGTTAACCCCTGTCTACTGTGAGACACAACAACAAAGTGTGCACACATCTCCCCGTGCATATGTGTGTGTTTCTACGCATGTTCTCTCTTCCTTTACTGACTCCAAGCTGGTTTGCTCTCCTAATCTCACTCTTTTCTCTTTCTTCCAGTTCCTACCACGAGTGTAAAATTGAATGAATCTTGTATAGATCATTAGTAGTTTGCGTAACATAAATTGATGTATATGTTTGACAAATAATTTCGAGTTACGCTTCACGCTGATTGTTTTTCTCTGTATCTAAATAACGAGTAAGATAACGTGATTGTACATCAGAAATGGCATGTGGACTCATGTGTGGATTCCTCGATATGATCGGTATTTTCAGTTTTGATATAAATCATGAATAGTGGACAGCAGTAGAATCCAGGAGGCGCATTTCATGCTATTTGAGATTCGTCATCTGAACGTACCTGCCTTCCAGTTGCTGATGTTTTCCCCTCGCCCCTCACTGAGACTTGAACCCAAGACCAGTTTATTCAAACGCCAGAGCACTAGGCCACACAAATAGGATGAAACGCACCTCCTGAATGGCATTTAAGTAGGCGAAAGTAATAGAACTGAAGAGAGGATAAACGGATGATGGTTAACGAAAATGCCAGCAACTTAGACAACAAAGATTGAGTACATCTGCACCACTGTGATAGATTTTCAGGCACATCACTAAGAGTTTGAAATCATTGATTCCTACAATCTCTAGGACATCAATCAGGCTCCGCACACGCCTTATACCAGAAGTCAGTGCCATATGTTGGTCTGGTTTCCCTTAGCCTATTTCCAACCAAATTCTACTTCAGCTGACGTCATACATCGAGGTGAGTAGTGACTTGACATATGCAACATATATTTAAGCGAATTCCGTCATGTCACAACAAAGTGTAAATGAACACAACGTTTGGAGCTGCACAAACCGAATAACGCATTTTACTGGCCAAGTTCAGAGCGGGTTGAAAGATCATCATCCGTCACGTCTCTCTTTGAAGTCCAAGATCACCTGTAAAACGGTATGGGGTCAGAATCCACTCAACAACCTGCAGCGGGTATTGAGCCACACATTTTGTCTTGCGGGATTATGATACTGTCTGACTGCCAAAACCTCTGCATGTGCAGGTGGGTTCGAACACATGACCCATCGTGTAAGAATCAACAACTTGGACCAATAAGCCAAACAGTTAACCTGTAGTCAGTTAGGACAAAAGTAAAAAGTAAACATTGTTGCCTAAACTATCACCTTCCAACGATGATTAAGAATTCCCCTACTATTATTATTATCATTTGTCTCTTGGGTTCCTAGTAGAACATAGGGCTTCAGTTGCACGTCTCCATTCCACTCTCTTCTCTGCAGTCTTCAAAACCTGGCTCCAAGACTGCCCACAAGCTTTCATTTCTTCCTCACATGACCTCCTCCATATCACCTTCACCTCGGACGCCCAACTCGTCGTTTCCCATTCAGGTTCAACTCGACGGTCTGGACTGACGCGTGGTGTCCCCGAATGGTCTTCTCAGTGTATGCCAATCCAATCGGTCTCCACCTCCTTCTGCGTATTTGTTGGGCGATGGGTTCTTGGTTGGTTGGTTGGTTGGTTGCCAGTCACCCAGAGTTCCTTGTTGCTTATCTTATTATTCTGACCATCTCATCTGATCTTGAGTACCGAGTGAGCTAACGTAGGCGGCAGCTGTTCCTGAATGTCTGTAGTTTGTCGGAAATGCTTTTCGTGACGTGTCAAGTCTTTGAAGCATATAAAAGCACTGACTTGATGTTGGTGTTGAAAATCCGGATGTTGTTCACGCTTTGTACTGAGTGCAGTAGATCTCCACACTGATTTCAGGCAAATGAAGGCCTGTCTTGGTGTCCTTCCGATCCTGGCTTTGACATCCTAATCTGCGCCACGTGTATTTGAAACGATGCTGCCTACGTAGACAGGCAGAGAGGCAGACAGGCAGATAGGTAGGTAGGTAGGTAGGTAGGTAGGTAGGTAGGTAGGTAGGTAGGTGGGTGGGTGGGTGGGTAGGTGGTTAGGTGAAAGAGACTACTTCCTTTTGGTTTCTCCCGTTGGGGATGACTGGTGATTGTTGTTGTTGTTGTTGCTGTTGTTGGTTGGGTATCTTTATCACCTCTGTCTTCTCCACGTTCACCTGAAGTCCCGTCTTCGCTGCCCTGCCTCTCCTGCCAACTTGTTGGTGTTGACCAGTGAATCTTCGAGCTTGTGCGACATAAGTCATTGGACATAAATCATCATGGGAGAATTCCAAATCTTCTAGTGTCTTTTGATTGGTCAAACAGCCAGCGTATGCGCTTCTTCTCGCTTCTCACGGTTTGCTGCATGATCCAGTCGAGTCGACCACAATCAGGAAGATGATCGGTGATGGTAAGCGGTAGCCTTGTCTTACTCCTTCTTCACTTCACTTCACTTCAAAGGCGTCACTGAGCTTTCCTTTGTGAATCACTTGGCATGTTGCATCTGAAAGCATTTACCTGTTGAATGAGGTTGATAAAGGTTTGTGGCACTGAAAGCGTAGTTTTGAAGCAGCAGCAGCTGCCAAATTACTTGTAGGTCGACGCTATATAAGGAAGACCTTCTCAGAGTCGATGAAGCTGAGGCTGAGTTGAGTTGAGTTGACTGCCCCTCTATGATCTGTTCTATGATGATGCACAGTGTCGCGTTTCAATTTGATCCGCACATGATTTGTTCTTCCTGAATCCAGCCAACCTGTTCGGGTCGTAATTTTGAATCCAGCGCATTGTTTAGTCTCTCCAGGATGATGCGGCATAATATTTTGCTTGCATTGGGTGGACAGCAGCATGATTCCTGGTCAGTTCTTGCAAAGACTTAGGTCGCCCTTGTTTGGGAGTTTGACAAGGTAGCCCTTCTTCTAATCAATTGGCAGGTACCTTTCCTTCCTTCCTTCCTTCCTTCCTTCCAAACCTTCTGCAATACTGATGTGGTGTGGTGTGAGCATGTCGACTGTTATCTCTGTGTCTGTTTTTAGTGCATGTGGAGGAATTCCATCTGGTCGTGCTGCTTTCCCGGATTTCAGCACGTTATGGCATTGAGGAATTCACTTCTGCTTGTGTTCACTTGTAGTTGTGTGACTGGGTTGCTGGTGGTATTTCTGGACGAGTTGTAGGTGGTGTTGGTGGTCGATTCAAGAGTTTATGGAAGTGATCAGTCCGTCTTTTCTTTTGTTCCTCCTCTTTGGTAACTCGCTTTCCTTCACTATCTTTCATTTTTTCGTTTCATCTGACTTGGTCTCTTCCCAGATCGATAGTAACCTGGTTATTTGATATGGTGTTGTCAGGTCTCTCCTAACAGCCGCAGCCTGTTCTGCTTCACTTGCCAATGTGTCGTAGAAGTGTCTTTTGTCTTCCCGTGCACATTCTTCCTCACTTCCTTGTCCAGTGTAGTGTTGCATAGGTTCTACTCAGTTCCTCTTTTCGTTGTTCATCACTGCACCGCACCGCACTGCACTGCACTGCACTGCACTGCACTAGTTCATCTTCTGCTTCACCATCTTCCTCTCGCTTCTCTATCAGTTTCCATGTGTCTGTCGAGATCCATTTCATTCCTTGTCTCGCCTCTTCTTCTTCTTCCTTCCTGACACGGTTATGCAGGTTTTCTTCCACATCTCTTTCAAAGAGTTCCAGTGTTCTTCCAAACAGGCTTTCTCGGGAATCTTGTTTAGTGTCGCCCATTCTGTTCTGATGACTGACTGGCTGGCTGATGCGAAGATGTCGCTTGTAGTTTCGTCCTCCAGTTTCTGTTCTCCGTGTTGAACTTCAACTGTGGTCGTCTATCACCAACTTCTGTGAAGGCTTCCAACTTGATTTTGAAGGTGGGTTGCTTGCACTAGATAGTGAGTGGTGTGAACCTACATCTGCTCCCCATCTTGATCTGATCTTGTGTCCAGTAGTAGGCTGGCTGCGTCTCCACTTTCTTCACATTGAGATGAAGTCGATCTGGTTTTTAGTTTAGTGTGTCCATCTGGTGAAATCGAATCCATGTCACTCGCTTTGTGAATATCCTTGTGTTTGTACACACTGCCTCACCTCCAATCACCAAATCATTAAATGCGCGGGAGTTTGCAAACAGTTCTCCATCCTCGTTCATCATTTCACCGAGTGCTTCTCAACCATGATTGGTTCTCTTCCTGTCTTGTCCGCTCCCAGTTTGGCATTCATGTCACCCCACCCACTAGAATTTTGATGTCGCCAACTGAGATGGAGTCTTTTCCAATAGTGATTACAGTTGTCTGTAGAATTCTTCCTCCTTCTTATCTTCATCTGCACTATTTGTAGGTGCATAGCGTAGCATCATATGATTGTGACTTTCCTTCCTTTTGATTTGAATGTTGCTGTGATGATCCCAATCCTGCAGGAGGAGATTGGTTCGCACTGTATGAGAGTGAGCCTTCGATGCTGTTGAAGGGGACATCATGATAGCCACTGGAGAACTCAGTGTGAGTGTCGTCGTGGTTGTTGTCTGGGTGACAATATGTGGGACGGAGTAGATTATTGACTCTTCTCCAGTTGACAGTTTGGAGAGTTCACTTCCATTCCATCTACTTTTGCAGATTCCTAGCCTAGCACTTCCATGCCATACCTGCTCATCTCCTTGACTATCTGGGAAGCCTTGCTAGGTTGGTGCTGACATGGTGTGGACATTCCATGTCCCCATGTTTACTTTTGCTTTCATCGGGAGAAGACACATCAGCCAATTGGCTTCCTGAATGCTTTCCCCAACCGGCGTCATTTTGTCTCCCCGACTCCAGTGAGGAAAGAGTTTGTGTTTATTTTTTATAATTAGTTTGTGCTTAGAAGTTTCTTTAGCGGTTGGATTGGTTTTACGGGGTAGGGTTGCTAGTCCTATGCCCAACCTTCCCTCTTTATCGGAGCTTAGGACCGGCTAGTAACTAGTGAACTATTTAACTTTGCGAGTTTAAGAATTCCTTTACTATTGTAAATTTAAGCATTATCTGTAAAGTAACCGAAATGATGTTGTGATTGAAGACCCAACTAAATCACTTAGTCCTTTTGGAGTATATTTATGTATCTGAATTTTGTGTTTTACTTGGTGAATAATGAAGCTGACATTTCATGGGTATAGAGAAATATCTTAATAATCCATATTTAGATGGTGTAAAAGTAGCTTTGTTCTTAAGTCGGTATTAGTCATGTTTTATGCATTTCAGCAGTTTATAGTAACTTAATAATTCGCG